GTAGGGAAAAGCCCCAAACTGGCCTCCTGGGAGGTGAAAGCTTGAATGATCCCAGAGGCCTTTTAAGTAGTGTGAAATCCTGTTGTCCCAGAAATCCTTCCCTCAGCGTCACAGCACAGGCATGATGATCTAAGAGGCAGTTTACTTTCCTGAGACCCAGAGAGGCGCTCTTCTTAAAGCACATCTGAGAAGCATAGCCAGCCAGCGACAGAGAAAACAGGAGGAGCTCAAGTGGAGTAGCTCCCCCAGAGGAGCACCCCAAGACTCTGCTTTGATATTCAGAATTCAGCAATTGGTGAGTCTTTAAACACAGCCTTTAAAAACAAACAAGCCAAACCAAATCAACATTGTTAGTTCTAGATGTTCTTTCTGTGGTTGACTTAGTTTTACATAAATAACAATATTAAGGCGAGGGGGTGAGGTTGGGACAGTTATATGATCCATCGTAGCCACTTAGAAGAGGGAGAGGAGTTATAGATGGACGGCACTTCCTGGTACTCAATCCAGGACTATCTTTTTATTGCAACAGGAGATTATCATGGGATGCAACTGACTATTGATTTAAAGCTTTAATGTCTATGACCAGATTTATCAGAATATTTAAAAATAATAATAATATTGCCTTATGATTATTTTTTTTTCAAAGAGATTTTTCTCCAGATCTTTCAGCCTCCCCGGGTTTTGGCCATGACCTTGTCATGTACACAGCTTATCATCTCCCAGCAACAGTGTGGAGAGGTCCTTAGGTGTCCCCAGAACCAACTCAGGGAGTATTGATGGTCTGCAGTTTGACCCTGAACTCCAGAGTGTTAAGATGGGAGGTGACCTTTGTCATTGGTCTGGAATGCATATCGATGCCTCAAAAAGCATTTCAATGACGCTGAAAGGGGATTTATTTGGGTTAAGATCCTGTTTTACTCTGGATTTAATTCTCTCCTTCGACTTTCACATCACTGTGGCTTTTTTGGTGGAGTAGCATAGTGGGGGAGAAACAAGAATCATACTCAGAACCGCTGTGTTGAATTTACCCATCTTCTCAGTCCTGCCTGCCTCTCGGGTGGCCCCAACAGGGTATGGGATAATATTTTAATAGCTATAAAAGATGAGCTGGGTCAGTAAAATCTGGATTGGTCCAGAGCATAGTTCCTTCTATCGCACACCTTCGTCACCTGACAATTCAGAATCACGGGCATGAGTATGGCTGTCTTGTTTTGAACAAGGATATAGCTACCTGGCACCAAGCTCATGAGTTGAAAAGTGAAACCCACACTCCACTGGGTTATTGGACCGCAGGATCTCAAACCGGTTTCAGCTTCCTAGGAAATGGCACTGACTTCAGCGTTCACTTCTCGTGCCAGTGGGACCATTGAGGAATTTGATCTTTTTATTAGAAAGGGGCTATGGCAAGAGTGAGGTTTCCTGGGCTGAATTTTCTAGCACTGAATGAAATAACAGAAGCTCACAACACCTGTGCCCACTGGCCACTCTGCAGAAAGACAAGACCAAGCATCTTAGAATTGTTGCAAAATGCATCATGCCCAGAGTGGACCCAGAAGATCTAAGAATCTTAGAAATCAGCAAGGTCTGGACAAAGAGAATTAAAAGGGAGGCAGAGTCAGGAAAGTGAAGGTCTACCTAGCAAGTTTTCCATCAGGAGGAAACAGGGAGAGTCTGTCTGAAATTAAGTTGGTCTAGGGACAGCAGACATCCAGTAGGTACGTCTGTGGCTCCTATTTCCACTGACCAGGAGCCAGTTCAACAGCAGAGGGAATCAAGATGCTGGTGTCTTCCTCCTTGGAAAGATGAAGCATTAACTCGTGGTTAAAACTAAGCTCGATGATTCACAAGGGATCACTTTCTTATCTTTTATGTAACATTAAAAAGAACCTAAAGCATTAGAGAAAGCAGTGTGCCTGTGAAGCATCCTGGTTCTGATGCTGGGACAGAAGTGATCACATCATTGGCTTTGGGACCCTTCTAGCACACAAGACCCATTATCTTCTATCCACTGCTCTTGGCATTTAATCCAAACAACACGTGCCCTCCTATGAATGCATCTTCCTGTCCCTTTGTCAATATTCCCCTCCCAGTTTAGTTTCGGGATACTTTCATTTCGCAATTAGGTATGATCCAAAGTGTGCATAATCTTACTTAATGTTACTCAAGGAAATGGATCCAATGCTACCCTCTGCAACCAAAAATAAAATTAAAAATTGCCTCATTGTAGGGTTTGGGCTAATCTGCGTTTCTATAAAAGCAATCTGTTTTTTGGCAAAATACAATTTTAAGGATACATTTGTCTAAGGTATTTATGTATAATTAGAGATTTTGCAGTATTGACTATGCATATATTTAAAATATGAAATATCCAGCTGATGTTTGAATTTGTCTGTCTTTCCTGACCACCTGCCTATCCCATTTTATAAGCTGGAGAGCTAACTAATTTAGTAAAAGAAGCCTAGCTTTTATAAAAGATCAAACATATCATTTTATAAAGGCACTCCCAATGATGGTAACTTGATTTTCTCAGGACCTTTAACTGCGGTGATAAAATCGCAGGTCTTGCTTTCAAGCCTTAATAGTGTAAAATGCCTTTTAATGAAGATATTGCTGAGTGTCTTCCTCATGAATCTGAACCAGTTATAAATTTGTTTTCCAGTCTTGATTGATATTGACTGATTCAAATAAAGTTGGTTTATTTTCAAATATTACAAAGGCGATCATCAGACTTCTTACTGGAGGTGGGGATTTCCTATGCTGTTTGAAATGTGTACGAAATACCTCTTTTTTCCCAAATGTTATTTTATTTTCCCGTTGTATAAGAAAATATGTTCATTCTTCTTAAAAATCAAAAGCAAATAAAAATTACACAGCAATAAAAAAGAATGAAGTAGGGAATTCCCTGGTGGTACAGTGGTTAGGATTTGGCGCTTTCACTGCCGAAGCCCCGGGTTCAGTCCCCGGTTGGGGAACTAAGATCCCGCAAGTCCCACGGTGCAGCCAAAAAAAAAAAAAAAGTAATAAAAGGAAATGAAATAATGCCATTTGCAGCAGCATGGATGGACCGAGAGATGATCATACTGAGTGAAGTAAGCT